TTTGGGAGATGACTCTCATTTATACTAGTCTGAATGTGGTGCACAAGCGCGAACTCTAGTCAACTTTGAGTGAAGTAGGGAGAAACACCTAGAACCCGTGGTACGTTGGGGGTGATTTTAACGCGATCACATCTAGGGATGAACGAAGATCAAGTGCGTTAACCTAAGAGCCCGATAGAGAGTTTTGCAGGTTCATTCTCAACTCAGGACTTAATGACATTGGGTATGTAGGGCCACAATTCACGTGGCGAAGGACAAGGGTTGAAAGCTGAATTGACAGAATGCTCGGGTCGTTCGATTGGATGGAGCTGTTCCCGAATGCTCTAGTCACTCACCTACCTTTCTATAAATCAGACCGTCGCCCATTGCTGGTGTAATTTGACAGGCCCGACAGAAGAGACATATCGAGAGACCGTTTTGCTTCATGGCTGCATGGGTCCTTAACGACCAGTTTGAGACCCTAGTGAAGAATAAATGGAACCCAGCAACCTCTTGGACAGATACTATTAATCACTTTGCTGAGGAGTGCAAAATCTGGAACAAGGAAACCTTCAGACACACAACGCCGAGGAAAAGGAAACTCATGAAACGCCTGGAAGGTATCACAAAAACTAAGGCCACTTATGGGTTAAACGAGAAACTAGAGGAACTCTAGAAACAGTTGTGGAACAAGCTAGAAGAAATCTTAATCCAAGAATCACTAATCTGGGCCCAAAAAGCTTAAACAGAATGGATGATAAATGGTAACAAAAACACGAGATATTTCCACTCACGAGCCAATAGACGAAGAAAGCATAACTATATCAGAGCAATCAGAAACTATAGTGGGGAGTGGAAATATGATGTGGAAATCATTAAGAATACGGCCACGACGTTCTTCTCACACTTATTGCAGGAAGAAGCCCAAAACCGAGAAGAGTGTAAATGGAGCATAACCTACCTGAGTAGGTCGCAAGATACACTGAGAATGATGGGTCGGACAGTTGGGGAACTGGAAATAAAGACGCTCTTTTCAGTATGGGTCCTTTGAAGGCACCAGGCCTGAATGGTTTTAACACGCTCTTTTACCAAAGCTAATGGCAACACATGGCCTTGACAGTCTATGAGCTGATTAAGGAAATTTGGGAGAACCCAGTGAAAGTCAGTGAGATAAATGATACCTTCATAGTACTCATTCCAAAAAAGGATCACCCAGAAGAAATAAAGGACTTGCGTCTAATCAGTCTTTGCAATGTTATTTTCAAGATCATTATGAAGGTTGTAGCGAATCGGATTAAGTCCATCCTGCCACATATTATAAGCCCCAACCAATGTAGTTTTGTGCTCAGAAGACATAGCTCATACAACATCATTGTGGCTCAGGAGGTTATACATTCCATGAGAAAGATACAAGGCAAGAGGGGATACATGGCTATCAAAATAGACTTAGAAAAGGCTTATAATCGGGTGAGTTGGCAATTCCTCCATAGATGCCTTGTTGAGCTCAACTTACCAAACCATTTGGTGGACATAGTTGATAATTGCATCATCACAGTGTCTATGCAGCTATTGTGGAATGGGGAAAAATCAAATAAGTTTGTGTCGACTAGAGGAGTCAGACAGGGAGACCCCATGTCCCCTTATCTCTTTGTCATTTGGATGGAGAAATTGGCTCACTTAATCCAAGAAAAAATGGAAAAAAGAAAATGGAAACCTGTCAAACTGCAAGAATGGACCTCCTATCTCTCACTTGTTCTTTGCGGGCGATATTATTTTATTTACTGAGGCATCAGTGCAGCAGGCGATCGAGGTGAAGGATTGTTTGGAGAAATTTTGCGCAACGTCTGGCTTGAAAGTGAACACAAGTAAAACAAGAATCTTCTATTCTAGAAATGTCAACCATAAACGGCAGACAGAGCTAGGCAATATGCTGGGATTTCATATGACAACTGACTTGGGAAAATACCTTGGTGTTCCTCTTATACATAAACGAGTCACGAACGAGAGTTTTCAAGAGCTCGTAGACAAAGTTCGAAAGCAGTTAACGAATTGGAAAGCAAACTCTCTATCCTTAGCAGGTAGAAGCACTCTAGTCTCGACGGTAGCAGCCATAATACCAGGCTATACAATGCAAACAACCCTCCTACTGACAAGTGCCTGCAAGGAAATTGAGAGGTGCAACCATGATTTCATATGGGGCTCCACACAGGAGAAACGTAGGACACACTTAGTCGCTTGGGATACAATCTGCAAGCCAAAAAAAGTGGGAGGTTTGGGGTTCAAACATCTGCATAGCCAGAACCAAGCCTATATGACTAAGCTTGAGTGGAATCTGGTGAAGAATAAAGAAGCGTTATGGGTGAAAGGCATCCGGAGTAAGTACAAGTGCGGTGATGATCTGTTGCCTAATATTGAGACGACTAGGAAAGGCTCTAATACGTGGACAGGAATCAAAGAGGCGTGGAAATACATGGAGGAAGGGTGCGAGTTTGTCAATAGGAGCCGAACTGTCAGATGGTGTCATAGCAGAAATGGAAACTTTGCGTTAAAGAGCGCATATGAAGCCATAATAAAAGAGCTAGACCCAGTTAGAAACATGTGGCGTGGAGTCTGGAAGTTGAACACCATCTAAAGATGTAAGACCTTTATGTGGCTCGCTATGCATAACAGACTACTGACTAATCAGGAGAGATCCCGAAGGGGAATAGGAGATAACGCGGTTTGCACGAAGTGTAACTCAGAACCGGAAAGTGTACTGCATGCCCTTCGTGATTACCGAGAAATGCGTGACCTGTGGAGGAAAGAGGTTGATCAGAAAAAGCAACGGGCGTTCTTCTCGGCAGGTCTAACTGATTGGATCCAGATGAATATCAGGAAGAACTACAGGAGGAAGCAGGTAGAGTGGAGTAGCTGGTTCGCTACTGTCTGTTGGCTGTTGTGGAAGAGACGTAATTTGCAAATCTTCGAAGACGCTACTCTAGTCAACGATAGCGTAATCTTACAAGCCAACTCTATTATATCCCACATTCACCAAGCGAAGCAGAGGCTTGCAGGGGTTAACCTCAACAGAAGCAGAATTCAGTACAGGAAAGGGTGCTGGGAACCCCTAGGTCTAGGGTGGGTTAAATGCAATGTGGATGGGGCATACTCAACAACTTATGGAGCGGGGTGAGGTGGAATCCTTCGTGACAAGGAGGGAGCTTTCGTATCTGCCTTCATGTTTAAACCTATGGAAGGAGATAGTCTCGCCGCAGAACTGTGGGCGCTCCTTCACGGCTTGAAGCTGGGATGGGACAATGGGCATCGAAAGTTAATAGCTGAGACGGATGCCGCTGAGGTAGTCAAGTTGATACACGAGGAAGACATAGACTCCCACCCAGATTACAACCTCATTATGGAGATATGCACGTTGCTCACGAGGGAGTGGGAAGTGGTGATTAATCAGATCCCAAGAGAGGTGAATGCTGCTGCAGACCACCTAGCCAAACAAGCGTCGACTCTAGCCCCAGGGTTTCACTTCATGCAGGCTCCTACGCCTGACCTGCAAAATATTATTAGGACCAACTGTATGCCCGGCAATAATGGGTAGGGGAGCTTGAAGGATATCCTTCTCCTTGTTTATCAAAAAGAAAAAAAAGAAAATTAGTGGAATCCACAAAAAGGGTCATTTGGAGCATTCTCATTGAAGAGAGCATGAATGACGCGATACTCCACGTAAATATTTCTTTCATGCACGATGCCTTTGATTTCCATTTCTTTGCGCAAACCCATTGCAGCCTTTACATTTCCTATCTCGCAAAACCCATCAATTAACGTAGAAAATTTGATGACATTAGGTTCTATTTTACTTTCAAACATCTAGGAACACAACTTAACAGCCCTCTCTTAGTATAGCAAATGTCACAACATCTGGGTGCAAGCCGTGATGAATCATGCCTTGAAACAAATCAACAGCTCCTTAATTAGCATTAGCGATCTTGCATTTAATTTGATTATTTATTTCATGTCTAAATAAATACTGAAATAGATAAAAGAGGAGCAGGAAAAAGAATGAGAATCTTAATAAAGATGATTTTCAACCCCTAAAAAGTTTTAAAATTTCACTGCATCCCCTTGACCAAATTTTCGTGTTAGAGAACAAAAATACCCTCACCTTATTTGAGTTGCAAATCGTTAAATTTTTATTGTAAACTGTCAAATTCTTGTTATGAATCATCAAATTTGAGTTGTAAATCCTTGTAAATTTTATGGAAGAATGAACTAAACTCGAATTTGGAGATTTACAGCAAAAATTTTACAGTTTGAAATAAAAATTTAGTGATTTACAATACAAATTTGGAGATTTACAACTCAAACAAAGGAAAGATATTTTTCTCCTGTAATACCAAAAAAAAAAAGTATAGTAAAATTTTGGAATTTCTTAAAAATTGACTGGTATTAATTAATTACATATGGAGTTTACTGGAATTTCCCAAAAAAACACATTATGAAGAGAAGAAGAAGAAAGTAATTTCCCAAGAAAATACATTATCAAGAAAAGAAGAAGAAAGTAACGAGGAGGAAGGATAAGCGCTGTGGAAGAGGGAGTCTTGGCGACGGAGTCGTCGCTTAAGGAAGCGGATGCTCGAGAACGAAGTCGGAAGAAAGTGAGAAAAGGTCAAGGATGTTAGTCGGGAGGTAGGCCAGTTGTCCCAATGGAGGAGGAGTAGCTGGTAGAGGGTGAAAAGCAGGAAGAAGACTGGAGGGCTGACGGCGAGGACAGGAAAGAAGGGAAGTGGCGGTCGTACAAACAAGCATGAGTGAACAAAGATGGTCCCGATGAAATGGAAGGAGAGGAGGTGGCGGACTAGTGGAAGGATGAAGAATGGAAGTCAAAGATATCTGTAGAGCACGCACGCCGCATGGACCAAATGTGTTGCCACCCAACTTGTGCACAGAGGCTCTTTCAACCCTCGCGAACAAAAGAGACCTCAGAGGAAACTAAAAGGTGCGAAGGAGACCAAAGACCGCATATCAAGAAAATGGAGTGGGACAGAGATCTAAGGCAGAAGATCATGGAAAGGGAGTGTATATTCGGATTGATCGGAAATGGCTTCGCGATTGTGGCGGCCGATGCATCGACGGGGTACAGATTCGTCGACTGCAATACCAGTGTGGACAAGATCACGGCCAGAGACAGGTCCCTCTTGTTTGATATTAGGGTTTCTTCGATTTTAGAGTCTTTTTTGTTTTGTGATATTCATTCGCATTGACGCAGGCATTAGTTCACCAATTACATACAGAAGAAATTGGCTCCGTCTCGGTCATGTAATGGGACCCCTCTGACCACTGCTGACGCCACCGATTTCATCCGTGGTGAGCTCGCCACTGATCTGCGCAAGGTATCTCATGTTTTGATCTCCTATGTTTTTATTTTCTTCACTGGTAGGCTACAATTAAGCATTTTCTGTAATTTTTGGTTTGATTCAGAGAGTGAACATGCTACTTGCTGGCTACGACGAAGAAACGGGCCCTTCGCTTTACCATATTGACCACACTGCTTCGCTGAACAAGGTTGAGAAGGGAGCATTTGGCAATGACTCCTATTTTTCACTCTCAATAATGGACAGTCACTTCCGCAGCGGAATGTCAGTGATTTCCCCGCATTATTCATGCTAGTTCTACCTCCTTTGCCTTGGTACATTGAATCAAGTAGATTAACAAAATTAGTTAAATTAGTTATTTATAATTAAAAAATATTTTTTTAAAAAAATATTCTTGCTTATCAATTGTATTGACTAGAACTACTATTATTACAAGAATTATTTTGGAAAAAAATAAACACAAGGGACAAAGTGAATTGTGGTTTTATATTTAGAATTAAAATAAAAATAAAAAATAGTATCACTTGATAAATACAAGTTCCTAAATGCCAGATTATAATGTGCAAAATCAAAATATACATTGATTTTTCCTCTTCTTCTCTAGCTTATTTTATGCTTTGATTTTCCATAATTTTCCCAAGTGACTTTTTTCCATCTGCAACGAATCTTACTGATATGTGTTGGTTTTTGACTTTTTTCAATCGCAAGACGCTCGCGAAAGCAACAGTTAAGTTTATATCTCCATCATCTGAACTTGACCCAACCCACATTTTATGGACCCAGCAATGCAGCCCAATACGATGGTAATTTTTAAAACTAAGGCTGACTTTTTCTTTTCGGCCGAAATAAGGCTTGACTTATGAGAAAATGACATGCGTTATCCCATTATTGTTGTTTTGGCCCCGTTTCTCATCGGTTGATATTGCTGACAATCGAAGAGGAGTTTTATCAAATCAAACAAACCCAAAATTCCAAAAGCATAAGATTGAGAAGCCTATCTAACAAAGAAAGGCCAAGGAAATGGCCTCTCAATCACTGTCTTTGGAATACTTTTGGGAAAACAAAATGTGTTTTGTTATACTTTGGATCGTTTCTTTTCCTAGTAAGAAACGTGTAATTTTGATGAGAAAAAAGCTGTGAATTTAGCATATAAAAACTCTAATAGCAAGGCATGCATCTTATAAAATATGAATATGAAAATGAATTTCTCAAATTTCATGCTGCACATGAGACTCTGTATGTTTAAAGATACAAAGAATTATGATTATTTCTAATGGCTAAAAGTAATTACTCGATAATGCTCGTATTTGAACTTTTAGCAGCTGGGAAGCAGAAAAGCGAGGTGAGGAGAAATAGGATTATGAAGAAATGAAAGGTGGGAAAAGTATGGTAATAGACAAAAGAGAAGGGGTTATGAGTTGGAATGGAACAAAGCTTTTGTGGTGTTGTGGCATTTGAAATGATGAGGTTGGTTGTATCATGAAGCACAAGCATCCACCACATTATATTACAACGGAGCAGTTATTTGATCCTAATGCCGTCATTATCAGAAGTTAATCAGCCCCTCTCCTACAGCATCCATCCACAATCCATGCATGCACCCATCTTTGATTATCCATGTCTGCCGCCAGGGGCCACTCCCCCTTAATTCACACATCAATTCGGAAAATGACCCCAATAGTCATCACACTTCTATTATTTTTTTTCTCGAAAACCAAAGTACTCGCTCTACTTTTAAATAGATAAGTTAGTTAATTATGAGTTTATTTTAATCATAAATATAAGATCTCAGTCTATTATATTTGTCTCCTAAACTTATAATATTTTTTTTTCCAAACCATTCATACTCATTGCACGTACATATTATGGGGTTTATGTCAAATTCAATATAAATGATCACAAAAACATTTTAGAAAATCATCAATAATACACAATTTTTACAAGTAACTGTCTAAATTAATTTTACTAATTTTGATAAATTAGTGATTTGGCCCCCCCATTAAGGACGAAAAGAGAATAATACTTTAAATTTTAATATGAAAATGTAATCTGCAGCAAATTGAACTATAAAAAAACCTGAACATTGTAATGAGCAAAAATTCTCTCACTGCTCTCATCTCCTGCTCTTTTTTAAGGTGTATTAGAATACACTAACAACTTTACTTTTTAGTCTCGTCAAGTTAAACATCTTGTCACATTTTTCTTCCCATTTAAGAAGACTTGGACGTCACCTTTTGGATGTATTTGGTTGTTCCTTGAACACAATCAAACCTGTGTTTTGCAACTCAAAAGTTGCTTCTTCCATCAAAATCAGCAGAAAACCAAATATACACTAAGGCACTAAGAGAAAATTCATAAAATTCACGAGTCTCTGTCCAACCATTTTCTGGATTCTTTACAAGTGTATGGTGCCCACCCGCATCTATAGATGTAGATATAGACACATGCCTATGTATGCCCCACGTTGTGTGCAGTACAAAATATTAAAAAATACGAACGGATATGAAAATGTACACATAATAATTGAGAATGCATAGGAAGGGGTGGTGGCCAAATCATTGTTTCAACATACTTCTCTTCCATAAAACCTGAACAACAAGAGAGCCTTTCTTCATTGGTTGTCTCTCAGAATCTCTCTCTCTCTCTCTCTCTCTCTCTCTCTTCCTCTTACTCTCATCATCTTCACCACTTCTTCCCACAATATTCTCCCTCCTCAGTCTCACGCCCTCACATGGCTTCCACACGCACACTTTGTCCCTGTAATCATTTCATTGGTCCCCACTCCTTCATGCACATATCTCACCCTTTGTTTGTTTGACTTTCTGCCCACCATCACTCGGTGCACAGGAAGCCACGTGGCATACATGCATTGCCTATCTATGTCTTGTTAGAGCATCATGTACCTTTGATTGGAAGGCACGTTCAATTGAGATTGCTGAGCAACCCCATTGGGTTTCTCACACATGCCCTCCTCACTTCTTTCTCATTCAATTCCTCTTCTTATATAGTACTCCCTCCGTTCCTTATTATAAGAGACATTTGGTGCTTATGGCATGTTCCTATATATAAGAGACACTTACAAGTTGTCTCTACTTTTTTGTGTTGATTTCCTATTTTACCCATATTTATTGTCTCCAACTCACACTCTCTCTCCTTCCCATTTCTCTTTCTTTTAATAAATTACCATTGTTCTTTCTCATGTTCTCTCTCCTTATTAATGAGGGCATTGTTGGAAAAAAATTATACTTTTTACATATTAATTGTTCTTAACTAATTTTAACTGTTTTTTTGATCGACGTAATTCGGTTGTTCGTCTCTTATAATAAGGAACGGAGGGAGTAATAAACTATTCTCACGTCAATACTTCCTTCAAATTTCAGATAAATATTTCAAAATTTTAAACAAGAAAAATGTAACTTGTACCTTTGCTTGCAAGATATATATATATTTTTAACTTCACAGCACAAAGTAATTTTCAAGTTACATTGTACTCTTCTTTCGGTTATTAATATATGACTTAATTGTTAAGTTAATTTTAATCCTAAATATAAGACCTATTTTTTATATTTATTATTTTTTTTCTAAATTACCTATATGGATACTCCCTCAATCATAATCAAATAAGTAAGGAATTGAGGATATTAAGGGTGTGTTTGGGTGACACCCCAAACCATGGTTTGGGGAATAAATCACCCAAACACCCCCCGAAAACCAAAACCATGGTTTTGGAAAAAGCAAAAATTTTTTGCTTTTGGAAGAAAAAAAAAAGAGAGTGTGAGAGACTATATGATATGTATCTTGTTATTTTTTTTTATAAACATATTTTTTTATAAACATATTTAATCTTATATTTTATAAATATATATACACATTAATTATTTATTAATTATATTATCTTATGTATTATTAATTATGTTGGTAAAAAATATATTTTAATAATTTTATTCCTTCAAATTAAAATATATCATAAAATCTATTTTTCTGTAATTATCATATTAACTTATGTCTTTTTTTAGTAATTTGTATATATAAAAGTGCTTCTGATAACAACTATCCAAACACTCTCACTTCTCAGAATCACTTTTTTACAAAATCTATTCTTCACAGAATCTATTCTCCAGAATCACTTTTCCAAACCACGGTTTGGTTTCATCCAAACACACCCTAAGAAAGATGATTATGGTGTTTTAAGAAAAACATATCATATTTCTTATAATTAACTAATTTACCTAACTTTCTTAATCTAATCAAATTAGTTAAATATGTTTTATATTAAAGACCGGAGGAGTATTTCATTTTCCTCCAAAAAAAAAAAGGATAAAAACAAAGCAGACAAGGCACTTGGCAAATGTTTCACACACACACAAGCATGATACACTATTTTAATTATGGAAGGTTATGATGAGATAACCCAATGGTCACTCTTGGTACAATAATGGACATGGATGCCATGCTACTGGGTAGGGTGTGGTTAGATAAGATAACTAATGATTTGTCAAAGTAATTGATGGCCAATTTGTTTGAAATTATATATAGAAAAGAGGTTATTTTAATTAAATTTAGTACTCGAGTTGTTGGTCCAACATTACATTAATGATAAAGGTTTTATCCAAAAAAAAAAAATTTGAGCTTTTTTGTACGCTATTCTGATAAACTTGTCAATCTTTTTTCCCCAATGCATATCCTTTACATGTTTACTAGCTTGCACTCTTTCAATAACTTCGTCATCCATCGAACAATTTTTCACCTTTAACCTTACTATAATCACTTTTTTTTTTTAATCTTAAACGAAGTAATGTAAATTGATTAACACAAAACATATAATTGGTGTTTGCTAATTGGTGATATTTTGGATGGGAATGCAAAGTTATGGGGGGCACACAAGATTACGCAGTGATTGGTGCCTTGCCTTTTTGAGATAACATCAATGTCCCACCCTTTTCTTCCTTCTTCTTTCTCTCTTTCTCTCTCCTCCATCCCATTCTATTCTTCTCTCTAAAATTATGGCTCCCAACTTACATACTTTACAGCACCACCACATATTTCTCCTTGATATTATCATTAACCTGCTATAGCTTTAATTATATTCTTCTCACTTTTAAAATAATTACTCTCTTCCCAATGATTTTTACGAGCTACCCACAAATATACTAATTATGTCTTCATTTTTACAAAGAGGGGGTGAGACAGAAATTGAGTGGGGGAAATAAAGGAAAAATATGAGAGACATATAATCAAATGAGAATTAAAATGGAACACATATTGGATAGACAAATTGGTTATTGTATTGGTTATAACTACCATTATTAGAAGGACTAACTTAAAAAAAAAAGTTATAAATATGATAGACAAATTGGATTGGGGTCTTATATTTATGATTAAAATAAAAGTCAAATAATGCCTTATATTAAGGATCAGAGGTAGTATTAATATGAATTTTTTAGTTGGCAAAAAAAAACAGACTTTTTAGCATTAAATTTTAGCTAAATTTGACTATGATAATTTGGTTAAAAATGTAGCTTTGGCTCTTTGCACATCTTTAACACATATTTTCTATATTAATTAATAAATGATTGTCACATCAAGAATCATGAATCATAAATCAAACGATAAGAGAAAAATGTGTTCAACATTTTTGCTGTTATATAATTTAACTTAATGGTTAAGAAATTACTTTTTCTTGATAAGATTGATTAAAAAATTTATATCAAATAAGTATACAAAGCATCCAGGCATTATATTTCTCTTATTTCATCTTTAATATTATACGGTTTACTATCTTAGTTTTACATTAGGGTGCTAGGGTAACTTAAATTTTAACACAATATTTATGGCATTTTTTCTATTCATATGGGAACGATAGCTTATTTCTTTTATTTTTTTCACTAAATCACAAAAATATTTTTAATTATAAATTATTTTTAGTTTTATTTCTTTTTTATTACATTTCATGTAACATACCAAATTTTCTTTAAATTTTACGGGGATTGATCATGACTATCTATACATATAACTTGATGTATAATAATGTTATGCAACATCCTAAAATTCGTGATTATTGTTCGTTATGAAGTTTACTAGAAGCCGGATATAAAATTATCATAAAAAAGAAATATAAAATTAATAAAACCTTAAAATATGCTAACAACTTTGGTGTTACGAGAGTTTGCATTTTTGGCTCTTTTGAGAATGAAACTTCAAAACATTTGTTCACTTTTGATAAGTCATTGTGGTTTATTATTTTTCTACGAGATTTCAGCTGCATAGTTTTAACAGTTCTAATCAATAGGCAAGAGATATCCTTTTTTAGTTGGATAAAGATGATAGACAAGATCTAATTCAAAGAATTATAATTCTCATCAATACTCTTTGGAGTAAAGGGAATTTATTTGGCACTGCATGAAGGTAAGTCTTAACAAATAGAAGCTGTAATTAAGGAGATTCTCAAAATTTGCGTAAAATACACTAAAGTGTCTTATAAATAAGATTAGAGGAGTATTAATTTTAAGTCACATGAATCTCTTCTTGTTATTTGCATAAACACAAAGTTTATCAATTTGCACTCTTTCTCATTTGATTTGATAATGCTCAACTCCTTTCCAAATTGTGATATTTGTTCTTTTAATAGTGATTTAATTATAAACTTTTTACTATTTTTCATTTCTAGTTATTCTGATGTAGTATTGTAAACTCTGTTTTTTATTATCTATACATATATTGTCTTTTTAGTTTTTATAAATAATACTACTACTAAGATTCTACAAATTTATAACTTGAGTTTTATAATCAATTAATTATAATATTTGGGTCATAATATGTAATTTTTTTAAATAAATATAAGCTCGCCTCGTTGTCCAAACTCGCTCCGTCGCTTCTTCTCTGGCTTCTCTGTTCTAATGGAAGTGTCAGGAACTTTGTTTAAAAATTAAAGGAAAAAAATGAATATTCTTTCATCAAAACGTGAACAGTATATGCCACGTCGCCTCCCACGTAGATTTTGTGTCTTCAACCCAACCCCCGCCTGCCTGCCCAAAATTTTTTGTCGTTGCAGAGCAAGAGAGAGAAAGAGAAAGGGAGGGAGACAGGTCTAAACTTCGAAAGAGTTTTCTCCTTTTCAGTCCACTACGCTTCTTTCTCTCTCTATCTTCTCTATCTAACTCCATGTGGGAATTCATTATCGCTTCCCATTGTATCTCTTTTTGATTCTGTTCCTCCCGCATTTTCTTCCCTATCCCACGTACTCCTTTGCTCCACTTCATTCCCTCATTCTACAAGTTTACCTCTCTTTTATCCTTTTTTTTTTTCCTTGATCATGTTTCCTTTTTGAGATTTTCTTGCTTTGACTACTGCGTCCGCCTTTCTCTTTCTGGATGTTCTGCTCTCCTTTGGATCACCAGCTAGCTTGCTGCTTCTGAAATTCGCTTTTGCTCTTGCTCTCACTTTCAGTCGGCGATTGCTGGGATCAATTGGATGGTACTGGGCTTCTTCGAATTGGGTGATTGCAAGATCTGCTGTGCGATTTGCTGAACGATACATTTTTTGATCTTGCTGGCGGTCAACCGACTTATCGGTTTGGATCCGATCGGGGTAAAAACAGCGCCATCTGATGGCGCTGTTCAGAAGGTTCTTTTACAGGAAGCCACCGGATCGGCTTCTGGAGATCTCCGAGAGAGTGTATGGTAGGCTTCTTTTCCTATTTCGTCAGTTCCAAATCCCCCCCCCCCCATTTAATTACAATGAGCCTATAAACGCAAGAGCAATTGTAAAATTGGAAGCCTGTGTCCTATTATTTCCCCCAGTCCCCATACATGGAGTTTTGTACTGCTCAATTTGTGGCTTGGAGGAGGCAAATGCGGTTTAGGGTTCAATTACTAAGCTTCGTTTTCGTTTTACAATAATGCGTATGGCAACTCGTTAAGATTACGAATTTTTATGAACTCCTTTCCTCCTCCTTTCTTCATCTCTTAATGCTCCGAGTCCGGTGAAAATTGTGTTCGAAATTTTCTATTTTCCAGAGTTTTCGTTCATTTCCCCTCTTTCTGTGAACTTTAGCTGGGGAATCCTTTCTTGGTTTCTATCTGTTGCTTCTTCCCTATATGAATGGGAGAAACTGGTGCTCAGCTAAGGAGGGAAAATGTGCTGTCAAATTCACCGCGACGCGGAGGTCCAGGAATTGAGTTAATGGTTGGACACTTCTGTTTATTACTAGTCTGCAGCTCGTAGCATTTGATCAAGTCGTTGCTGGTCTCCATATAGTCGGTGATATTAAAGGAATGGGACAGTTAATGGCCAAAAAAGAAAAGAAATGGGATGATGGAGCATTCCCTTTATATACCCTGTGCAGAGCTGGGATGTTGAAGGCCCCAGTTTGAATTTGGGTACAAAATGATGAAAATGTTTCTAAGTTTTAATAGAGAAATGGAAAGCAATGTTTCAGTCAGAGACTGGCAAGTCATGATTGGAGGATTGCTAGCTGAAGAATCAGGGAACACTTTTATTCATTGAGACTTCTCCTTTAAGCCAGTGTTTTTATACCTTACCAGGAATGTTTTTGTTTCACTGGAGTGAGTTAGTAGCCACGGTAATCAGCAGGGCATAATTGCATCCATTTTGGTTGTCTAGTTGTGATTTTATTTATTAAGTCCGTGGATACCATAGCTGTTATGCTTAGTAGTTCAGTATACCTGTATAAACTAAACATTAGACTTATTCTCTCTCTGTTCTTGCAGTTTTCGATTGTTGCTTCTCCACAGATGTATTGGAAGAAGATGAATACAAAGTTTATATGGGGGGGATTGTAGCTCAGCTGCAGGATCACTTTCCTGATGCTTCTTTCATGGTGTTTAACTTTAGGGAAGGGGAGAAGCGAAGTCAAATTTCAGATATATTGTCTCAATATGACATGACAGTTATGGAATACCCTCGACAATATGAGGGCTGTCCTCTTCTGCCTTTGGAAATGATCCATCACTTCCTTCGATCAAGTGAAAGCTGGTTGTCTTTGGAGGGCCAACAAAATGTTCTTTTGATGCATTGTGAAAGAGGAGGTTGGCCTGTGCTTGCGTTTATGCTGGCAGGTCTTCTATTGTACCGGAAACAGTACAATGGGGAGCAAAAAACCCTTGAAATGGTCTACAAGCAAGCCCCTAAAGAACTTCTCCAGCTTCTATCTCCTTTGAACCCACAACCTTCTCAGTTGAGATATCTTCAATACATTTCCAGGAGAAATCTGGGTTCTGAGTGGCCTCCATCAGACACCCCCTTATATTTGGATTGTCTGATTCTTAGAGTCCTTCCGTTATTTGATGGAGGAAAAGGTTGCAGGCCTGTTGTACGTGTTTATGGTCAGGACCCTTCAAAACTTGTTAATAGAAGTTCCAAGCTTCTTTTTTCTACTTCAAAGAACAAAAAACATGTTCGCCTCTACCAACAGGTGACGTATCGCTTAAGCTGTTGATGCTATTTTTAATCTGACCAGATAGAATATCTTAGTTGGGAAATTTTAACTGCAGGCAGAGTGTATGCTGGTGAAAATTGATATCCAGTGTCGTGTTCAAGGGGATGTGGTTCTTGAGTGCATACATACGGATGATGATTTCAGTCGTGAGGAGATGATGTTCAGACTTATGTTTCACACAGCATTTGTGCGTTCAAACATATTAGTGCTCAACCGTGATGAGGTTGATATTTTGTGGGATTCTAAGGATCAATTTCCCAGGGATTTTAAAGCAGAGGTAAGTCATTGTTACTCTTCTATGCACGTAATTATATTAACCAGGAGTTGAATGTACATTTATATTTGTACCAGGTACTTTTCTTGGACGCTGATGCTGTTATGCCTAATCTGACCACAGTCAGGGCAAGTGAAGATGCAAATGAGACAGGAACTGCTTCACCTGAGGAATTTTATGAGGTGGAAGAGATATTTAGCAACGTAGTTGATGTGCAGGAAGGTAAGGTAGACTATGATTCTCTTCCGGCTCATGATAGCGTTGTAGATGATCAAAACCAAAAAGAAGTATGGAAAGAGGACTTCGATCCTCCCGCTTTTCAGGAATGTACATCAGATGATCGGACCTACAAACAGGGCAGAAGGATGGATTCTGGTACTAATGCAGTGAAAGACATTGCTATTGATGATGTGAAGTACAAGCTTGATGACAGCGTGGATTCTACTATTCATGAAGTGAAAGATATTGCTGTGGATGATGGAGAAATTAGAAATACTTCTACGATAGTCACTACTGATACCATTATGGAAATGAAGGGTGTCAATTCAGACGTGCATGGACAATTGGAAGATATGGACTGTAAATATGATGAATTCGGCAATGCAACAGAGGAGAAATTAGATTCCAAGGCTGGCCACCAGAAGCACGATATTTCCAGGCAAAAGTCTGATAAAGTACCACCTGTGGCAAAAAAACAACTTTTATCAAACTCGAAGCCAGTGGGAGATACATTTACAGCTAAGCAAAAGATTAAGCAGCTTGAATCACAAGGTACTCAGGCAAAACAAGCGAAGCCAAATGCAGTAACCAGGTGGATTCCTACTAACAAAGGTTCTTACACAAATTCAATGCATGTTTACTATCCGCCATCAAGGTATAATAGTGCACCTGCCTCTCTTTCCAATGCTAACTCTTTAAATGATAAAACTATGGATGCCAAATCAAGGTCTGCCTCTGCACCTATTGTCTCTGGGACACTTGTTTCTAGTGACAAGACAAATGGATTGAAATGTCAAAAGGTGGATGGACCAAAATCTGCTGACTCCATAGCGGAAATGGAAGAAGAAAACTTACCATCAATTGTAGAGACATGTCTTCAAACACCAAGTCAAGCACCACTTAATGGCCCAACACAAGCATTACAACCACCTGCTCCTCCACCGCCACCGCCACCCCCACCGCCACCTTCATTTCATGCTAAAAACTCTAAGGCATATGCATTTGAAACATCACCAGTTAATAGACAAAACCAAGAGATGGATTTACAACCTGTAACTTCACCTCCTCCTCCCCCTGCAGCTCCTCCTCCTTTTACTAATAGAACAATCACATTAGGAGGTCTTGGAATGTCTAGTGTAGTTGCCCCTCCTACTCCCCCTTCTTGTCCTCCTCCACCACCTCCACCGCCGCCACCTCCAAGATATGGATTTTCAATCTTTCCGCCTCCCCCCTCCTCCCCCACCCCCACCTCCACCTCCACCTCCACCTCCACCTCCCCTCCCTACCATCTTCAAGGGCCATTTCTCCGTCTTTGTATACACCACCCACTTCACCACCCACGTCATTGCCCCAGTCTTCACCTTTACTTACTCAATCCCTGCCTTTTATGAAAAAAGCTCATCCACCACCACCACCACCACCACCACCTCCTCCTTTTAGTAGAACTCCACTACCCTCACCATTGTCTTCTTTGAGTAAAGACCCACCACCCCCCACCTCCACCACCTCTGCCAGCACCTTCTTTGGGTAGAGCTCCACCTCCACCTCCACCGCCACCTCCGCCCCCTCCTTCGAGTAGAGCTCCACCACCGCCACCTCCCCCACCTCCTTTGAGCATAGCTTCACCACCAACACCTCTTTACCTCCTTCAAGTAGAGCTTCTCCTCCTCCTCCTCCCCCCCCACCACCTCCTCCTCCTCCTCTTCCTCCTTTTAGTAGAGCACCTCCACCTCCACCTCCACCGTCAAGAGGAGCACCACCTCCCCCATCAAGGGGAGCACCATCTCCACCACCACCTCCCCCATCAAGAGGAGCACCTCCACCACCCCCACCTCCAATGTCTAGAGCCCCACCTCCTCCCCCTCCTCCTAGTGGGCGAGGCATACCTCCTCCCCCTCCTGCTGCTGGTCGAGGCCCGCCTCCTCCCCCTCCTCCCGGAGTGCGTGCTCCTAATGCTCCAACTCCCCCTGGACCTCCAGGTGGTACACCACCACCACCTCCACCTTTGGGCTCAAGAGGTTCAAATTCTGATCCAAGGGGAAGAGGACGTGGACTTTCACGTCCTATTGGGGTTGGTGCAGTAGCACCTAAACGTTCCTCCTTAAAGCCTCTACATTGGAGTAAGGTGACAAGGGCATTGCAAGGAAGTTTATGGGAAGAATTGCAAAGACATGGAGAACCTCAAATGTAATTTGACTCATTTCTATTGTCTTTTGTTTGCCTGAGTTATTTTGAAATTTTATAATTATACATTTGTCTTTTTGTTTTTCACATCCTTTCCTTTTGTGATGACTTGTTTATTGTTCTATCTTAGTGCCCCAGAATTTGACTTTTCAGAGCTAGAGAGCCTTTTCTCTGCAAATGTTCCTAAACCTACTGGTTCAAGTGGTAAATCTGGAGATCGACGTAAATCTGCTGGGTCCAAACCTGACAAAGTTCACTTGGTATCATTTATTATAATGTTCTTTAAATTCGGTATTTTGACTTAAGGCATGTGTGAATGGTGGTCTGATGGCTCTTTGTCTTTCTAAAGTCCCAAAATTTGTTGTTTCATTTCTTGAGGAAGTTTTAATACATTTATCGCTTGATTTAT